TTAAGCTCACTCAACCTATATATATTATTTAAATTTAAGATATTTTATTTTACTAAAAGAGATTATTACTAAGATAATTGATTTATTATATAATAAGGTAGTTCTATATTGAAAAAAATTTAACAACTAAGAGAAAAAAAAGAACAAGAAACTCAAAGGATTAGATTTATTGATAAATAAATATAGTTTTATAAGTTTGGTCAAGTCTTAACTCCACATTAAGAAAATTAATTTTTTTAAATGCACTAGGTCAATATATAGAATATACGTGTAAATTACTTAAAAAAATTATTCTTGACGTACATAAAAACTAATAGGAATAACAATATCAAAATAGAACAAGCAAATATTCTGGAATTTGGATTTTAGTATGGTCAACAACTAGTCATTTGTATTTCATTTTTGGCCATGATAGGTGTGGTGTCTTTGTACCAATAAGAATTAGTTTCTTCACTTGAGGAGAAACTTGAATCAGTTGCAGTCGTTGGTGGCTTGAGTGAATTCATCCCTATTGAAAACAAATAATGAAAAGGGTTTATGAGGTGGCATGATATCAACTCCTCCTTCTAGCATCTTCACAACACTCATTGGTGGCCTTACCTTTGGTGAGTCTTGAACACACACATAATGCCACTATTGACATTCTTTCTACTTTTCCTCTATTCCTTATCTTCAGTCCCACAAGTCTTGGTCATCCCACAACACTCATTGGGAACCAATTAAGACTTTTAGAGGAGGTCATAACTGTGTTTCTTCTCTTGCCAACTATCTCAAATAACACCATTCTAAAACTATATACATCACATTTGTAAGTCATAGGATGATTCTTCAGTAAGAATTCTGAGGCAAAATAACTGAGGGTTCCCTGTATCTCATGTTTGAAATGTGAGTAAGATCACAATTGCAAAGCTTTGCTAGCCCAAAATTGGCAACTTTAGGGAAGAAGTTGATGCTTCGAGGAGTACATTTCCGGGCTTTATCTCATAGTGGATGATTCTTTGTTCAAATTCTTCATGCAAATAAGCAATACCTTTGGCTGTCCCTATTGCAATTTCATGTAATTTTTCCCACTCAATCATCTCCTTTTCCTTAAACAAGTATTTATCAAGTGACCCATTTTCCATGAGTTCGTATACAAGCGCACTCATAAAGTGATCATAGCAAAAACCATAAAGTCTAACCAAATGAATATGATATGTTTTTCCAATTATGCCTACCTCAACCATGAACTGATCCCTTACTGCTGTCGCAGAACTTCTCTCGATTACCTTGACTGCAATCTTGAGGAAACTGCTTTATAGACTACTCCAAATCCCCCAAATCCTAACCTGGTCTAGTAATTGCTCGTGAATGCACAAAGCTGTTGAGCAGTGAATCTCCCCAGCTTCTCCTTTATCACCTCCTGCAAGAACTTCTCCATGGAGGGTACATCACCCTCCCAAACTTGAACCGCATGGTGGGGCTGACTGACCGGCGGAGCACTTGCCGTCTGCACACTCGCTATAGCTCTTCTGGCCACGTTTGCACAGTAAAAACAGACAGCTGTGATGATCACAATTGTCACCAAGATCCCAATTATCCCTGCAAATTAATTTATCAATACCATTATTATTATTTTGGATATGATAATTCTAAGTTGGTCATGTTAAATGAGGCAAGAACTTACAGCCGACTACTTTTCCTCCGTTGATTCCAGAGAAAGATTTCATGGCCATGAATGAAGCGTTGTGGTGCCTGAAGCGTTAGCATCTTCGAACAACCATCCGTCACTGCGTCCATTGAAATTTGAATTGTGAACCATTTAAAAAAAATTCTCTAGTGCAAACTCTACGACTTCGACATTGAAGGCCCAACGAAGACCATCAAACAGTTGCAGAGGTATAAAAACTTGGCTTGTTGGGTTCTTAATGGTCTCACGTAGAAGTTCGAATTACGAGGCGTGGAGGCTAAGTAGACCAATAAATTGTGTAAATGGGTCGGGCTAAAGAAAATGGGCCTGGATTGCACAAGCACCATCTCGCCGACTATGTAGCCCCCATCCTCTAATGGAAAAGAAAATGATTTAAGGATAATTTTAAATTTTAGTGTATAACTTTTTCATTTAATCTTATATATTATTTAATAATAGATTTTTTTTTTACTATACTGAAACTTATAATATTATATGTATTTATTTATTTAATGATATATAAAAAGTATAAATAAAAGGGGTATAATTTGCACATACATATATATATTGTTACATCACATGGCTGACGCCCAATCTCAAATGAGGAGGGAGAGAAGAGAAAAGATATAAATAAGGATATTAATTTTGTAATTTTTTTATTCAAGGATATAAACTTTGTTAATTTTTAATTTCTTCTCTGCTAACTTTTATTTTTTTTATTTAAAAATGCTAACTTTCAACATTTCAATTAAAAAATTTATTTGTCACGTTTGTATTATTATTTAATTAATTGTTAGATAAAAAAAATTAAAAATTGGTATCCTTAAATAAAAAATGTTGAAAGTTGATATTTTTAAATAGAAAAAATTAAAAATTAATATTTTTATTTAAAAACTAGTAAAATTTACATTTTTAAATAAAAAAAATATAAAATTAACATATTTATTTACACTTTTTATTGGGGAGAGGAGATCAGAGGTCAGGGAGAACTAGAAGAATTTGAGAGAAAGATGGCTGCCTCTTTCATTTATTAAAAACAATTCAAGATACAAAGAGCTGTGTCCCCTAACATGTACTTATGGTTGGGGTAATTTCAATTCTTCTTTTATTAACCACTTGATTGATACTTAATTAACTAAAATTAAAAATCAGAAACTGCAACTATACTAAATAGAATCTTATTCAACAACTGAGTAATGAATTTGCCACTTCATGAGCCACAAAGTGCTGAAAATCCATTGGTTATATTTAACCACCTTGTGCAGATTGAATTGCATTCATTAAGTTCATCCATGCACTGAATGTAGGTTTTTTGCCTTTCTTTTTATAGTAATATAAGAATGGTATGTTAAAACTGAGAGCCACCGCGATCCCAATTAAACGCTGCAAATCAAAGTATCATATGCCGTTATATATATATATATATTATCAGTTTGAACAAGATGATTCTAAATCTAGCATCCTGATAAAATGGTGCAACAAATAATTACCCTTAATTTACTACTGCAGAATCCATATTGTGAAAGCAGAAGAATTGATCACCTGAATTCTAAAAATCATCATGGAAGTAATTATATAGGTGGAGGAAGAAGGCACATGCATTGACGTTGAGCCAACAACGCGGTTGCATTACGCAAAGAAAGGTCCATTTCAATTTTGAATTCCATGAGACCTTTGATGCAATTTGTAACCAAGTCAATATAGGGTGAGTTGACTTTTTCAAAGAATTAGTCTCTTCTTCCCTTGAGGAGAAACTCACTTCTAAAGAAAGATCAATGTAACTATCATTGTGGCAGGTTTTTCTATAAAATATTATAAATTTTATAATATTTGAGTAGATGTATGATAATACATGCATCTCACCTGAAATAAAAGAGTTAATAAATATTACTCTATATTATCTTGTAAGATTTTATTATCAATAAATAAATAATATTAAGAAATCATAACAAAATATCTTTGTTGTATGGGAAAGTTACAAGTTTGAATTATATGCATTCGAGGGGAGTTAATGCCACCAGTTACCAAACTTCACTAATGACTGACTCTGAATTGGTTCACGTCCATGTATATTCGCTCCTATGCCATGTGCCATAATACCTAGTCCAGCTAGCTCAACTTGCCAACATGTTGGGTGGCATACCAAACACAACTCACTTTCTTCTTCTTACTCTTGTTGTTGTTGTTGTTCTTCTTCTTCTTTTTTTTTTTAATTTTTTAATGGAAGACGAATTTTCATTGGCAAATATCATATATTACATGTTTAATAATAGAGGAAAATAGAATATTTTAAAACTGTTATTAATTCCAGTTCAGCCTTGGCAAGATTTATTATTCCATTACATGTCTAAAAACCTAAATAAGTAGTAGCCTAGTGAATATAAACACAACTCACTTCTAAAACAAGATTAATGTATCAAATATCTTTCGTGTGGAAAGTTACATGTTTGAATTTTGAATCATTTTATAAATTAAAATTTTATTGTTTTTTTTGGTTTGGAGGGATGGGGGGGGGTGGAAAATTTTTTTTTCATTTTGTTTTTAAAAAAATTAGAGAGGAGGGGAATATTTTTATTTATTTTATTTTTGCTTTTAATTTATTTACTTAACCAAATGAGGGGAAAGCTCTTTCCCATTTCCTTCGACCCAAATATACTATAAGTGGTGTTAAATGTGCATGTTGCAAGACAAGAGAAATGAAATTGCACTAAACTTGTACACATTAAGGTTTTGTTTGTTAATATTGTGTTATGTTGTAATTGTAAGTTCTTTTATCTTTTACTATCTAAAAAAAAATATAAAACATTAATTACATTTACTAAATGTACATATAAAAGTTAATTAAAAATTAAAAATTTACATTTTTATATAAGATGCTATGTAAAAAAGTCTGATTAAAGCACTAACCAATGAAAACTAAAGACAAATACACAAAAGAAAATGATTACATATCTAAGAAAATGATTACATATCTAAGGTTTTGTTAAATTTTAACAAAAAAAGAAAAAATAAGAACATTTTAATATTAAAAATATCAAGATGTTTAATCTTAATCACAATTTAAGTGGAGTCCATATTATGTTTCATATATCAATTGGTTTTAATTAGAAATTTTAATATTTTTAATACTAAAACGTCTTCTTTTTCTACATCCTCAAATTTTAATTGGCTTTTATTTCTATTATTATTATTATTAAGGAGGGGGAGGATGGGGAGAACTAGAGGGTGAAATTGAGTATTTCCATTTGAACGGTTAATGGGTAAAAATGACAGGCCCAACGAAGCCTTTCAAACAGTCACTTAGGTATAGAACTTGAAACCCATTAGATTCTTAATGGGCTCCACTTAGAAGTTTACCTGTGAGTGTTGGGGACATTTAGCCCAAGAAATCGTGTAATTGGGTCGGGTGAAGAAAACGGGCCAGAATAGCACGGCACCGTCTACTATAAGACATACCAGATTTTCCCAACAATTTTCCATAGGAAATTGTGAACCTGCACCAAAGCATCCTGATTGATGAATGCTATAAATTATCTCCGGATCAAGTTCATCCAAGCATTCTGTCAAAATCTACTATAAGACATACCACATTTTCCCAAAGTAGAGTCTGATTTCATTTCAGTGACTGCTCCCAACTTTAATGCTTGTAAATGAATTTAGAAAGTAAGAAATAACTTTAATAGTTAATATTGAAAAAGAATTAAGTAAATGAACTGCTATGATTGTACCTAATAAACAAGTATCGTTTTGTAGATTAAATTTAAAATTCAAGTTATAAGACTTAATTTTCTTGAATGCACCAAAACGGTGTGATAGTACACTCCTAAGATAATTTCATGAGATATATTAATTTTAAAATGTGTTAAAAGATAACTTGAAAATATTTTAATCATAAATATAAAATAATAATAATAGTAATAATAAGAATCATCATCATCATCATCATCATCATCATAAGTAAATGAAATTGGAAGGCATAAATCATGTTGCTAAGCTTAAGGATTTTAAATCTCTAATGGTGATATAGATTGATATCTAAAAATGTAAGTTGATTCCATAAGATCTCCCCCAAGATTTGTTTTGCTTAGTCTTTTAAGCTAAACATCCTATTCTCATTATGAACATCAGGATTTAAGCCAGCACCCCTTTTTCAACATGAACATTAGAATTTGTTGTCTTAAGGTTTAATCAACTTGCACTAAATAATCATGGTAAATGACATGCACAAATTTGTTTGCTAAACAAAAGAAGAGAAACTTTACATAATAACATCAAAACAAAACATGCATTGACTTTCTGAAATCTAGATTTTAGTATTATCAAGAAGTGGCCATTTGTATTTCATATTTGGCCATGATAGGCGTGCTCTCTTTGTACCAATAAGAATTAGTTTCTTTAATTGAGGAGAAACTTGAACCAACGACAGTCACTAGTGGCTTGAGTGTATTTGTCCTTAGTGAGTATACATAATGAAAGGGTTTAGGAGGTAGCATGATATCCATTCCTTCTAGCATCTTCACTATTGCACTCATTGGTGGCCTCACTTCTGGTGAGTCTTGAACACACCATAATGCTATCACTAACATTTTCTCTGCTTTTCCTTTATCCTTTTCTTCAATCCCACAAGTCTTTGTCATCTTAGCCAATTTGCTTTTCTTGTATTTCTCCCATACATGCTTAGGAAACCAATCGAGGCTTTTAGATGAACTCATAATTGTGTTTCTTCTCCTCCCAACTATCTCAAACAACACCATTCCAAAATTGTACACATCACATTTGTATGTTATGGGATGATTCTTTAACAACAATTTTGGAGTGGAGTAACTAGGGGTTTCTCTATGCCTAGTATTTGAAACGTGGGTACGATCCCCATTACAGAGTTTTATTAGCTCAAGTCAACAACTTTAGGGAAGAAGTTTG